ATCCATTCACCTTTTCTATCACAAGAGTGACATGTGTACTACTGTAGATTCCACATTTCCCTTTAGTTTCTGTTTGTCTGTCTGTCTGTCCATCCATCTATACATTCATCTGCTTTATTATAAAAGTGAAATGTTACCTACTGTAGATTATTTATGTTTACTTTGAAGTAGTTTCTGATTGTCTGTTCATTTATATTCTCTACTTAGTGGAATGTTACCTACTGTAGAATACTTTATTTTTACTAAAAAAATTATTTTGATTGTCCGTCCACTCATTGTCCGTCCATCTTCTCTCAGTGAAATGTTAGCAACTGACTATATAGTTCTTTAGTTTCACCAGACATTTATTTTTTGACTGTCTATCCATCAGTCCACCTCCAATTTCAGCTACTGTAGAATTCTTTATGTGTACTAGGAATTTATTTTTTGTTAAATCAGCAAAATCAAAATCAAGCTAAAATATTACTTGCGGAATTAGTGAAAATGTACGACACAAAATATTAAATTAAGTGAAAAGCTATAAAAAAAAGTGTTCAACAATATCTTACTTCTCTTATTTGACTTCTCTTGAAGAAAAAAATGAACAGTAAATCAGGTTACTATTAATAGAATAAAGAGCGGTGGTCATCGTGCCACGCATGCGCGAGACATGGGTCTCATATAAACAAAGATGGCGACTTTGACTGTTGCGCAGACCAGCCTTTACAAACTGAGAGATTTTTAATAGCTTTAATTAGTGACGTTGAGATCCAAAACTCGTACTCATGATTTCAAAATACACAATGTTGTTGTTTTCAGAATTTAAACTGTGACTAAAATCACAACAAAATAAACAACTACATTTGAAATGTCGGCTGTGTACACTCGCTGCTCAATGTTCTGTTATTACATCATTTTGATGGGAAGTGTTCAATACCGAACTCCGCTATTGGTTTACAACTCAGACAACCACTTTAGGTTAGCATAGACTTCCTTTTTTCTTTGCTAGTATAAAAGATGTACTCCTGATACAATAATTGATTCGCGTAAATAAATTCTTATTAGTTCGAAAAAAATTTCTTTCGAAATAATGGCTGCAAAATTCTGAATAGTCCACTTTAGAACACAATCTGGTTAGACGTACATTCAATTGCTATTCCCGCTTTATACAAGAAACGAATTATAAAATAAGATTTTCCCGAGCTGAAGACAGCGACGCTATTGTAATTGCAGGTTTCAATGACACTACATTGCTGCCATTATCTTCGTGGCAAAGCAATTACCAGAAGCATGAATGCACGATTTAAATGACGGTACTATTCAGATATGCAAGGAATCTATAACATGGCTAAAGTGAAGCAGGGATCTACCATTGTTATACAGGGTAGGATAGACTGGGGGTGAAAATCACCTTGATGCACAAATCATTTATATTATAAACAACGTGATTAAAAGTTACATTTACAATTTTTTTTTCTTTATAAAGGACTTTTGGTATTTCAATTTCATAACAATGAAATGATAATATTATCTGTCAATTTTAACACCATCTGTTTTAAAATGGTTTGACCTTTGTTGCTTGAAAAGTATACCTAAAGCAAAGATTACTATGCAACGATATACGACTAAAAGAACGACGACGATGTCACAAGACGCCATCACAACGATCTTGATGTATACGATGATGAAGGTAGACACTAATGGGTTACGTACGCCGTGCCGTTCACAAGAGAAAACATGACAGATGAAACTGTATGAAAGGGTGGATTATTCCACTATGTGGTGGGGATGGATTATAGGCTTTAACACAACTCTTGGTGGTTCCCTTTTTTCCCATTTATTTTGGTAGTATGCCTGTGGAGACTTTAAGGTGTGTTAAAAATGTTGAGTGTAACATTAATTGATGTTTCCTGTAAGTTAAAAAGTGCAGGGTTTCACTTATTACATAAATGTCAGAAGAATATTGAAAAGATATTTTTAACAAAACATAAAGTTTGAATCCAACTCATTAATGGTTTATATTGATTCACCTAAACAGGTGATTTAAAAAAAACACCAAATGGTCATCTTTCATCACATTGCAAACAAACTGCTGTGCACTTGAAGATCATATATTGATCAAATTAGGATCAATATCTGTTGGCAGCCTACTATGTTCAACCTAGTCCACACCTATATTTTCAAAAATATTAGATCAAGGTAATAAATGAGAAAATTTATACCATTTTTGGTCAAATTTAACAAGGAAATTAAAAGAACATACATTGTAAAACAAATGCAACAAAATGGGGGGACTAAGACTTAAGCTGAGGGATTGAGAATGGCCACCAATTGGCCATTTTAACATTTATACTTTAAATTTTGTTGTATGTTAAGTATATCTCAAAAGTTAATAATGGCATGCAATGCAGACGGACCGCCAGATTGACAGATGGATGCACACAAACTATTCAACAGGTTGTCGTGATTATGAGAACTTTCTAGAATTGACGTAATAATAAAACGCTTGCTTGAATTCACAACTCTGCTTCAAATTTTGAACATAAACAAACATTATACAGCGCAAAAATTGCTGCTGACCTACACATCGCTTATTCCCCCCCCCCCAAGTGTGTCTGGACACTCCCACGCATGCCCGCGTGTTAATTAGTAGGGCCGATGTACATGTACTGACGATAAACCCCAAATTCGTTAGTTCACTGTGACTTTTCAATGATTTGTTATGAAGAAAAGAACAAAGCCCTTGAGAAATAAATTCAACACCATGAAATTATACATACATCTGTCGCTCGTTTTAATTTTCTCATTTGTTTTTCTGAATCAAACGTCTTCATAAATAATTAATCACATAACGTAACGTTTGAACAAAATTTCACACAATGAAGCAATTATTCACTGGTCCTTCCTGGATTTTAGAACAATTGCATTTTGTTTGTTTTTTTAAAGGCATGCTTCACATAAATATGTTTCAGTTAAATTTATTTTTTTGCAGTACGGTATTTATGGTATATGTATTCCCAATAAAATTAGGAAATGGATACAAATTTTGCAAAAAATAAATAAAAATTATTTTACAAACAATAATTAATAAACTATAGCAACATATATGATTTTACAAAACAAGATGTTGTGGTTATTACAATCATCCGACCTCCAACCCAGCGGACTTACAGATTAGACAATTCAAAAGACACCAACAATTCCCAAGACTGCCAACGCTAAAAAAAACCAAGCCTTCCCGCATTTTTGTTTTAAATATTACATGAAAACAAAACATTGAATTGCTCTTAAAAAATGAATTCATAACAAATAAATTATACAGAATGTCCTCAGGGAGAAGCTCAAGCGATGTGTTTTTTTTTTTTTTTTTTTCAACCAAAACAATACATCAGTGCCACACCCATTTGATTAAGTAAAATACAGCACTGTATGACATGTATACAATTTTAAACAGTCCCTCCTTGGCTATCAACATTCAGAATGTAGGTATGACAAATGATCAGTTCTTGGGGTAAACGATAAGGTATAATTATCGTTGACAAAAGCCAGACCATTTGTCATCCGGTACCTTCATTATCGGATGTATAGAATACATTCATCGATGCCATTTCAGGTGTATCACATGTAGCAATCTGAAAACAAAACCTAAATTATTTTTGTCTTAAGAAAACATGCCCAGAATACAAATGATGTATTTTCTCCCCACATCACAGATATTGATAGAAGCTGCGTTTTAACTATGAGTAGTTAAAAGTCATTTCCCTAACAACAAAAATGTTGGCAATTTATTAAATTACAATGTAATTTCTAGAGTTCACCAAATTTGATCTTGCTTTTACTTTTCAATTCTGAGCAGTTTCGAAGGTAATTATGTTTTTGGTTTTTTATTGGAAGGACAAACATATTACATGTCCATAGTTTGTGTAGTAGTGTTCTTTTTATACTGATATTAAACTGATAAACTGATTAGCTTAGTGACATCACCAACTTAAGCAGTGACATCACCAAC